TAATAATCAGTGTTCTTTGGTAACACAGTGATGCGTCCGGAGACCACGAATACGATTTCAACGTCTTGTCCGGACCGTGACAAGATGGTCCCGATTAATGTGTAGAGCGTTGGCCGAGGATTATAATTTTTACCCGCTTGTTCCCTCTTCCAAACGAAGCGCGATAAAATTACAAAAGTTGGTTTCGTCCGGTAGGAGGCTTTGTTCCCGAGAAAATGGCTTCGCTGACCGAGCTTGCGTGGACAAGTGATATTTCTGGTTACCCTCTTCTTCGAGAAGTAACATTCTCTGTCAATTCGTTCGACATTTACGTAAAACAGGTTTTCACCGCTTATAAAGAACTAATAACACAAGTGTACAGCTTAAGTATAATTTACTCTCCCCACCAGGAATCAGCGTTGAATTTTTTAAAACGAAATTGGAAAAGAAACTTAGTCGGAAATATTCAAAGCCGCTTTCTTGAAAATAAACCTCCGAACGATATACTCTTCGTTCTTTTTACAATTCGTCAAATAAAATTCAACCGTCACAGTCCTCGGACTGACCTGCACAATTTCGAAGTACTATGCTCTCTCAGCCAGTGCACGGATTCACGTGTACGACTAATCTTCATCGATCAATCAACCGATCGGTTCCTCGCCTAACGGATGGCCGATGATAAAAGAAACTCCATCCAACCTACGTCTATGTACACGCACGTTTTACGCGAGCGCGAACGTACTTACACACGCACGTCCGTGCCTTTATGTACACGATGGTGTGACAGCGACATTCTTCGTCGTCCCGTTTTTCAACCGTCTCCCCCCGACTCTTCGTGTCCTATTTCCCGTCTGTTTCACGGGAGAGCGAGCTTTCCTTCTTCTTTTCTCTTTCTACGATCGACCGTATGTACACGCGACAATCGACGTTCTTTGCTGAACAGAGGGGAGGGGAAAACGGCGATCGGCGACGTTCGATGGATAAAACTCGTGTGTAGGCGACGCGCGTCCTAATTCGAGGGAAAACGACAAAACTGGCGAACGTACTCGTAATAACGCGGGGCCGGGGGGGAAAAATTGGTTCGCGCGGCTAGCAGGAATTCTAAAGAAGATACACACCGGCACTTCCGAGCCGATGATCGATATCTCTCCTCCAGCCGGGCCGCTCTTCGTCAAAGCTTCTCTTCTCGCACGCACTCTCGCACGCACGCAACACACACCGTCTCGTAATCTCTTAAGCTTAAGCTTATCGATAGTTAAGTAAATATCTGTAAATCCTCTCTATGTACACCCTGTTTTTTGAATAGTTCCCTTAAACCTAGGTACTTCTAAAGAACACGCCTAGATCCATTCGAGCAGAAATCTCTTCCGCTGGTTTGGATCTTTCCTGTGTTTCTCTCTATAGAATGAAATGAAATTTCCGTCTCGCGATACGAAACTAGAGGGGACGCGTTTCCTCGCGATTCCTCTTGAGGAGTGTTGCAGTCTGGAGAGAAGAAACTAGCAGCTTTTGTGCTCGCATGGTAGGAAAAATCTCCAACTTCGTAACGTCGTCGCCGTCGTCGTCCTTCAGCCGGAAGAGTTTCCGGGTTTTGCAGCAGCATCCGCTGAGATTTCGTCGTGGATCGATCTGGTCTCGGGGGAGGGGAAACCGAGTTTCCCGATGGTGGATAACGAGAACTCGTTACCAACGGCCGATATATATTATTTCGGTACTGTTTCAAGCAGCGGTAAACGAAGCGGTTCGTTCGTATGCCGGCGTTCAAGTCTCTTCGGATTCAGGGATCAGCTGGACACGTTCTCTCTTCGAGGGTTCCACGCTGTACTGTTCCTCGTGTGAGAAGGACTTACGAGCCAAGCTGCTGGCCACTGCCTACGTAAACGTAGCTCTATGGTTGCTGGTGCAACAATTGCTCGAGCTCCTCTGCAGACCTGAGGAGAAACGCGGCGGACTCTCGATATCCGGTGATCAACTGCCTCACAGCGGTCATCTCCGTCGCGTTCAACTTGTGACTCAGGAGCGGCTTCGTGTTCTTCATGCTCAGATCCGTTGGTCCTGAAAGAGCGATCGGTTGGTTGGAAAAGGGGACTCGTGGTTCTTTTTTGTTTTTTTTTTTATCGTTATTAAGCTTCAAGCGGTTTTTATCAAGCGGACTTTGCCGGGAGCTTGCGACACGTTGACTGGAATTTCGAGCGAAATGGTGTAACGAGATTGATAACTGATGTAGAATTTGAACTGGTGAGGGAAGAGAACTTTTTTTTGGCGTAACGTGTAGGTACTTTCTTCTTTTTTTTAAGGTTTGAAGATTAAGATGAAGCAATTGTTTCGTTAGATCATCAGAAACGATATGTTTTTTTGCAGAATGTTTAGTTGTTTCTTCTGGTCGATTTGGATTTTAAATGCGTTTAGGTGTCTCGGCGATTAGATTTTTCTAATCAGCGTGTCACAATGAGAAGCAGGGATAAATTGTTTACATTAAATACGTGACCCTTGGAAACTCTTAAAGTACTAAAGAAATTAGCTAAGAAATAGAAAGAATTCTAATACTGGGAGAGACAGAAGGGAGAGAGTGACACACACAGGGAAAGGGAGAGACAGAAGAGAGAGTGTGACACACACAACAGAGAGATAGAGACACAACACACACACACACAAAGAGGGTGAGAGAAATAGAGAACAGGGAGGGAGGGATTTTCTTTAAAAATAATTCCTACAAAGAAGTTTGACCGCTGACACAGAAATATTCTGTATGGAAATTAAAATACAAGGTGTTTACAAGTATGACAATTACCAAATATAAAATATAACGAAATATCTCAATGTCTTTCACTTGACGTGTTTTTTAAAACAACAAATACCTGTCGTTAAAACAGACAGCCATTGAAAAATCACGAAACAAAGGGTAAACTTTACTCTGGAAAATTTCATCGAAAGATTTATAGATCATCGACTGAAAATTGCACATACAAGAGCACAGAGAGTTAAGAAAAAGAGAAAAAAAAAAAGAAAGAAACGTAAGTAAGAAGCAGAAGCGAAACTCATAAGAACACCGATAAGCAATATTACTTTGTGTACCGTTGCTCAATAGGCCCGACGTGAAGCTCTGGGTCGGGTAGAGGCCCGCCGGCAGGATCGGTGGCACTGTCGTCGGCCCTGCACGCTGGAACGCCTGGCTGAAGTTCGGTCTGTACATCGCCGTCGGTGCACCGCCGCTGGCAACGCCGTTAACCGTCGACGAGCTGACTATCGTCGCCTGGCTGGAAAAAACGCGAGCGAGATTCGTGTTACAGATAGGCGGTAACATTGATTAGCTCTCCGCGCGATTCCGCCTCCGGCCTCCTCTTTAGGCTTCGTTCCGTGATCTTTGACCGTCTACGAGACGGTTTATCTGCCGGCTCTTTCCTCCGTCGCGGTTCACCCGGCCCGCTGTGAATGGAGAGATCACGGAGCGAGAATGAGTGGCCGGAGGAACGATTACAACGGGAGAGAACGTGGATCTCGCTCGTCGCGATCGCCACGAACGCGTCCACGTATGTATATACCGATTCTACGCGAGAGGAATTGCATTTTGTTTCATTTTTCGAGATCTTCGTGTGACAAAAATGATGAATTTGGTTTCTTTTTTTTAATTTTGCAGGTGGATGGAAAGAGGTTTTCTATTATTTGTAATGTTGCGACTCACGTCTTTTGGTACGACAGAGAGAATAGGGCAATATGGAAAGTGAGAGAAGATAATTTTTCAAAATTGAACTTGTTGGATAATTAGCGAGCACGTGTGAGGCACAGAGATGAGCGTTAAAGGGTTAAGTAAATCTTGCGGCAACTTGGACTTTCCTCAAAAATGATTTATTCGAAAGCAAAAATTATAAGTAAAATTCGAAAAGGAATAGTTTTCTGTGTTCTTTATTTATGTATGGTGTGCCTAGGAGACACACTTCCAGTGTAAAGGGTTAATTTAACGAGAATAATCACCCACTTTGATGAAGCTTTGGTATACAGTATTTCTCCAAAAAAAATATTCGATACATATTTTTTTATACCGATAATCGTCCAGAGTGAAGGGTGAAAATCGTCCTCAAAGTTGCAGCAAGTCTACTTAATCTAATATCTCGAAAAATATTGGAAATAGACGAATAGAATTTTCTATTTTTCAATAACAAATTTTTGAAAAAAGTAAGAAATAATTTCGACCAAATGTGTCTGTTACCCTCATCTTTGAGAGAGATTTTCACCCTTTCAATGTAAACACTTGCCGATAAAAAAATATACCAAAATTTCATGTCTACTTTCGAGATTAATCTAAATTCGGGTGTTCTCCAAAGATCTACGAAACGTTCATGCTTGTACCAGAAGTTGATTATACAGTAAGAAGATTCTTGCTTCAGAACTAGATTGAATCTTGTTTCGTGAGATATGGTGTTTAGAAATAGTTCGAAGATAATTCGTATGCTTGGGTGTTTCGAAGGGATTTCGACGATATTTGCGGCTTAGGAGTACAGATAAACTTGTGCAAATAGCAACTGGATAGTCACGCTTCGACTTACTAAGTACGACGTCGACACTGATATCGATTAAAATATTCTAAAGAAATTTTCAATTTTCCGCCAACGTTGATAATTCGGATATTAAAACTAGCTTCTGTTGTTACACAGTTTTGTGTGAAAGTTCAAAATGGATCATACAGAAAGAAAAGAAAAATTCGACGAAATTTCCACTTAACCCTCTAAACCGATCTAAGTTAATTTCCCTATTTTTATTCAAGAAGATAAAGTAACTGTGTTTGCTGGGATTCTCTTACATAAAATCGAATTTCGCCGTTGATCTAATTGTAAATCTGATATCGCCTCGTCTAGACAACATTTTCATTTCTGAAGAATTCAGCGTCACAGTTTTACATCAGACGTACTATCGTAAACTTAATTTGCCTACGATCTATCTTTGTAACAAACCAACTGGTGCTAATCAAGAAATGCTACGTAGTTATTTGAAGTTCACCAGTGATCCAGTTTTTCAGCATACCTTAATTATCGTTCAGTCGAGTGTCATTTATTAAATTCCTGCTTAAGTTGGACATAGAAATGAATAATTTACGAGTGAGAAATATTTATCATCCAGAAACATTCCTTTCGTTTATGAACACATTTACATTTTCCATTTTTCACCTCCTTTTTGTCAAAATGTAGGAAGATTGATATTTCGCATTTTTCATAATTTTTTGTCAGAATGTTGGAAGATTGATATTTCGCATTTTTATGCTAGGCTTTTATTGAGAAGTAAACTTCAACCGTGTTGCAAAAATCTTCGATCAATTTTCAAGTAAAAATTGAGAATGTTAAATCAGCTTTAATGATTAATTCATATTGTATGAAATGTGACTAATGTGAGATTCAAGCGTAATCATCGTCACGATTAATTTAAATGAGAGATGTTACTTGCTTATCGAGAAGAAAGATAGGCTATTCGAGTTATCAAATTTAAAACGTTCTTATTCAAAGATTTGAAAGACTTATGATTTTAAAGAAAATGTAAATTGAAATTCTTCCAATCTTCAGATTTATACGCATTAAACAAAAAAAAACTACGCATAGTTCTGTTAGAAATGAAATTTTGTAGATATAAAACTTGTTAAAAATATGAAAAACTGTTATAATTTCAATTTAGTTAGCTCTCTATTAGAAATTTCATTTCAGATAACAACAGATCGTAAATTTTAATCATAAAGCAAGCATTGAATGTAATTTTCTAACGAAAACGTAAATTGCCAGTTACAATAATAATACACCATTGCATTGTATCTGTGCATATTAATTATGTATATTCCAAAGCTAGTAACAACGAGAATTTATTGATCAACAATGTGGCTAATTAAACCTCTAGCTCCAAGAAATTGACAATAACAGAAATAACAATCATAAACATTTTCCATTAAACACAGAAGATCAGTCACTTCAATTCTAGAATTCAATATCCCTCGAATAGTATGATATACCGAAACACTGTTTCTAACATTTGAAAATTTTTTAAATACCACTAATATCTACAGTTGGTAACAACAATTCACAAATTCTGAGTTTAATCATTTATTACTGTGCAATGGAAAACAGGATACGAACTTCGAAGACAGAAATAAGAAGCGTAATACGTGTGTTGAATTAGGCTTAACCGAAATAGAAAAGAAAATTCGAGTGTTAATTGGACAGTTCCAGGGTGAATTAAAAAAAAGAAAAAAGTACAAATTTGCTATGCGGAATCCACACTGGCCAGAACTGTTCGCGAACAAGATTTGAGGCTTTCAGGGCCCGGAGCATAATTATTATTGAGGCTTTCGGGTGTAAGCCGTGTCCTTATGGGAAAAGAGTACTTTTGCCACAAAGACACAGCGTACACCCAAAGGCCTCAATAATAATTAGTCCGCGAACAGTTCGCGACCAACTCGCAGACTGTTCGCGAACAGAATCAGCGTCGTATCCACACTGGATCTGCTCGTAAACTATTCACGAACACCAGCATGGACACCACGTTACAAACTTACTACTACAATACCAAAATCTACAATCTTGTAACAACACTATTTTGTTACATACTGTAGACTCGGCTCTAGACACAGTGCACGAACTTGTCGTGTTCACAGTATTCGAAATATTCAAGTGAATTCGATAATTAACGTTATGAAAAGATTCTACTGACCTCATGAGACCCTTGTTGTCCGCTGGCGTGAGCAGTTTCGACGCTGGTGCAAGAGACAAGGGTGTAGAAGAGAGGGTGCTGCTCGGCAAGTTCGCCAAACTGGTTAGCGGCGCGAGGGACGTTAGCGATGCCGGTGGTGTATCCTCCCTCTTGCCCGGAAGTGATTTCACCGGTGTACTCGAGAAATGCTCTAAACTTGACCGGACATCCGTTTGCTGGAACAACCACTCGATCTTAGCAATCTTTCTCAAGGTAAATTACCGAGGAAAATTCGTCGAGTTTTCATAGTTCGGAAGATTAGTTACGAAGAAACACAATTCTCAGTTCTCCCGGTTTTGTATATTTAATAGAAAATTGGTTCGCTCTTTATTTTTGTTTCAAGACTGATGGCTGAAGGATCGCTTAACGTTTTTGTCAATGGTGAAAAAAGACGTATGTGAATGATCTGTTAAAAATTGTTTTAATGTTAATTTGTAAATGATAAAGGGAAAGGTTGAAATTTTTCGAAACACTTGTACAGATTTTATTTGTCAATTAATTTAAAACACACGTGTCGTTTCTATATTAGTGAATAAATTGTTAAAACTTTCATTCTTGTCGTAGCTAAGATTTGCCCAATTTTCGCATTGCTTGGTTTTCTTTGAGACATTCATTTGTGGATTAGTAGCTGCATGTGTACGAGTGTCTGCACCGATAAACAGCAATTCAAGCTATTTTTTGTCATTAATAAAAGCTCATGTCCACAAATATCTGTATCAACAGATAGTAATTCACGCGACTATCTATAATTACTACGACAATATCCATATTGGCCAGTTGAATGTAGATGAAATGGGAAACACACCACCCCGAGATATTCATTTTTCACTTATACTTCTCTTTTGACATTTTCACTTAATGTCACTAAAATTAAAAAGCAAAATACAAATATCATTTTGAATATATGGAGTACAGTGAAAAATAACCACAGTCACGTTAAATAAATCTGTATAAATAAAATTAGGGGGGAAAAAATAGAAAAATTATTTTCACTGCGTGCGAAACATTAGTGCGACGAAAACTTAAAGTTGGTGCTCCACGGTTAAGGAAGAAACCGTGAAAACATCATGAATTTCCCACTCGTTTCCCCGAATGCGTAATTGAACGAGCGTGTGCGCGGTTCGCCGATAAATCGCCCGAGTCTATCCGACTCTCAGACGGGCCACGACTTTTGGATCGCTCTGTAAACGGACCATAATCGTTACATTTTGTTGCCTCCGCTGATTGGCTCGATCCCTCCCCCGTTGGACGCCCCTCCACCCCCGGCGCACGAGAAACCATTATCTCACGCTCCACATTTTTAAGCATTCTGACCCAGTTTTCGCCAGTGGCGATCGAGAATCGGCTTAGTACGACGAGCACCAGCGAAAATCGATCGGACGCGGCGCAGCCTTTTCCCCCCGGTAAATACAAGGGAGCAAGCACGTGGCCCTCGCGGACCAAGCTCCCGGTTGTACCTGCTGGATCTGCACGCGGTCGTACACCTGATTGTGCACCACCCTCAGGTTCTTCTTCCTCATGTTTGCCCCTTTGCTTCCTTCTTCTCCTCTCGTCACCACCGTTCCTCCATGTCGATCTAGTCCAATCGATTCGGCAATGTTCCTCGCGGGTCACAGTTTCGATCCATCTTGCTAAACTCACGCGAGCCGATCCTCTCTAACTAGAGAACGTTCGTAGAATCACAGAAAACAGATCACTGTCGAGCACATCGTGCTCGAAACGGGTTCGAACTTTCACCAAAGAAGCACGTGTGTGTGTCACAAGTAACCGCGACGTCAACGAACCACCAATCCACCGTCAAACGGACTATCCTCCGGATGTACCCACGGCACGATCATTTTGTTGCTTCAGTAGGTGTTCTAGCCACCTGGTCCAGCGAACAGTGTGGAAAACAGGACGAAAAAGGGTGCAGATGGACGGTGTAACTAAAGAGAAAGAGAGAGAGAGAGAGAGAGAGGCGGATGTGGCGGACAGGGACGTCGAGGCGTGAGTAAAGCTCTCTCTCTGGCGGCCAAGGAAATTAATTCGAGGAAAGAGAGGCGAGCTAGTGAAA